TGGGCGTGGCAGGGGAAGGATACTGTAAAATCTCCATTCCCACCCCACTCCAGGGGAAGGATATTGTAAAATCCCCATTTCCTCCCAATCAGCTGGGACTTGGGAGGCAGAGAATAGATGGGGGCGGGGCCAGTCAGAATTTTTACTACCAGTTCTCTGAACTACTCAAAATTTCCGCTACCGGTTCTTCAGAACTGGTCAGAACCTGCTGAAACCCACCTCTGGTTGCCAGGGTAAGTGGATTAGACATCGCCATGCCTCAGTTAAAGTCAGGAGGGAAATCCTCCCAAGGGCCTTTTTCAGATAGCCACAGATACTGTACTGCAGTATGAGGTAGTACTGTAATTACTGTCTAGTGAAGAAGTCAAGATGGCAGAAGTAACTGAGTAGTCAAAGCTTCGCTCCATTTTATGTGTATCATATGTAAACTTAAAAGGGCGTTGCTTCCCTCATACAGTCACTCCTCCATCTTGATTTTTTTTTTATCCCTTCGCAAATGTCCCTAACATAATGAAAATACTTCAAAGTATTCTAATAGCAGCAATACTTTCCTCTGCCTCCTCAAAATATTTTAATATTTTGCTCCAAGGAAATGCAACCCATCCACCCTTTTTTTTTTCCAAGATAAGCCATTTCAGAAATTAGAGAATAAATCAGCATTCCCATATGCTCAATTCTACGACATCCCAGAAACTGCAATATATATTTAAATGCAATATAATCATGAGTTGGTACCTTTGCCATTATTCATACGGGGCATTTTCCACATGTCCAAAATATAGCCAGTCCCATCTGAACACACATCTACATTTTTAGTGAATATGAGGAACCTCTTTCATTTGTGGGGATCAATAAATCCCCACTTCAAAAACTATGGCTGAAGAGATCAACCATTGATAATTTCTCTCCCTTTATCTCTTTGTTTGTAGCTTGGAATGCCACTGATACTTTCTTTGTCTTTGTAATTGTTTTAATTAGCCACTCAGCAGGAGCTCCTGACAGTACTTTTGATAGAGCATTACGGTCAACACAGCAGGATGGAGCAGGCTGTTAGCGTGAAACATAGACATTATGGCAGGCTTAATTTCTTTGTGTTAAATTCATTTTCATCCCCTCTTTTTTTTTTTGTCCCCATTCCTCTGACCTGGGGGAGGGGAAGGGTCATTTTTGTCACATTTATACTAAACTTTGTGGCTCGCACATGGAAGGTTTCTTCCCCATTTTTAAATATTGGCCTGAGAAATCTTTGAAGAAGACGCACTTTGTTGATTGCATTCCATATTGGCAAATCGCCTTCTTAGTGATGGTTTGAGAAGATGTGAGGCTTTTTTTTCCCATATCTTTTTGGAAGAGGCTCTCTGTGTACTGTTTGTTCTCGCAGCACATCCTTCTTTTGTAAATAGGAATCTGCTCATTCAATTATGATGCAGATCCAGAGGACTTAACAGTAAACTTTGTAATGGGCTGTCCTTTCCAGACAATTCCTTCACTTAACAATGCAAAAAAGGCTGCCAATATCCATGTGGTCCTAGCATTTTAAAAGAGATTTCAGAAAATCGAAAATCAGTTGGCTTTCTTTCAGGATCAGGAAAGGAAAACTGAAAAACAAAATGCAGATGTGCCTCTGGGGCAGGAGTTTTATACATATTTTAGAATATGAATGGCATACATTTAGTTGAAAAGCAGTTATGGTTATCTCAACCCAGCTGTATCCTCAGCATTCATAACAACATCAGCTTTATTACCAGAAATATAAAAGGTTATTTTGCCACCTTCAAACTGAGGTATAAAGTTCATTGTATTTTATACACTACCTTGTTGACCTGTTTGTTGACTTTTAGCGATAAGGAATCTTTCTACGTCAGCTCTAATGTGCCACAAAATGATACCGCCTATGCTTAAGATAGCTGCTTGAGTTGGAGGAGAGTATGATATGTGTATTGAAAAACCAGATGTCTGGCATTTATAAACTTGTTGACTTTCCATATTAGCATTTTTACTCTGACTCACCTAGATTGGCTTAAATTTATCAATGAGAACAAGTAAAAAAAAAAAAGTGAAAAGTTTGAGATATGTGGCATGTTTCACCAGGGTGAAGGGTACATCTTAAATTAATTTGTAGATCACTTGATACCCAACTTTCCAAAAGATTCATTTATTTTTATAATGCATTCAGATATACAATTGTCATCATATAACCTTAGGCTAAGTTTCCTTCCTTCCCCCCCAGGAGTAAAATCAACAATATTAATAATTAGTCAGCTATATGATTTATAAATAATCAGCAGCTAGCCCTAATTTCTAATTATGACTCCAGTCTAGTTATTAAATGTGGGAATGGTACACAAATCTTGACTTTGCAAGATTTAAAAAGAGTAACATGGAATGTTTTGGCGTTTATGGGATACCTCTGCATGCAATGCTAGAGATTTGTGATTGGACCTCCCAGATCCTCTTTAGTTTGTTAAAGAAAAGTTGAGTTGCTGTGTATCTGCTGAGGGGGAGGGATGTATGTAATCTGGGATCAAAGACTTTGGGTGGCGGGAGACTTAACGTTCTCCTGTGCTGATTCTTTTAATACAAATTCCCCCTTGTTCCAGAATTACTTTCAGTTACATGAAAGAAATATATATCAAATCCTATTCAAATTATTTGCTTGTTTATTTGTTTGGTGGAAATTCTATCTATGGAAGCTCTGTAACCAAAACTTAACCTTTATAGGCTAGTTTAAATCCATGGAGACTTCCTCTTAGTTTGGGAGGGAGAAGGGTCAATCTGCAATTCGGGTGGGCATAGAGTCCCCAAAAAGTTGAGTGCAACCCCAGAAGTCTTTCTAAATTTTGCCACAGAACTTTAAAAAAAAAATCACAAGAGGGAAAACTTTGTTCTCTCTAAAACTTCTTTGTGGTAGCATCTCCAGTCTGGACATGGCCAAACGTTTCACCTAGTTTGTCTGTGAGGTGAACTAATGTCCTGATATCATCTAAACCTTCACTGATGTTGTCCCTCCCTCTCAATTTGGGCAGGGCTTTAAAGGCAAAATGGGTGTCTTAAGACTTGATAAGTTTTAGAGCAGGTTTATCCAACCCTTGGCCTAAAGGCTGTACGCAGCCCTGGACACCTTAGTAATGCAGCCCCACAAGATTGAAAACGTTTAACATTATTGTGTGATTTATGTACATGAACTATATTATTCATTTTATATACTGCCCAAGACAATTCGTTTTCACTCAATGCAGCCCAGGCAAGCCAAAAGGTTGGATATCCATTGCTTAGAGCATCAGTGTCATTCTTTGAGTCCTCTAGCTCTATACCCCCAAATCAGGGTAAAGTCCCACACTCTTTATCAGAGCTTCTTTAAAAGGTAAAGAATAGTCGTTCCTGACTCTAGAGGGCGATGCTCATCTCTGTTTCAAAGCCGAAGAGCCAGCGCTGTCTGAAGACGTCTCTGTGGTCATGTGGCCTGCATGACTAAATGCCAAAGGTGCACGGAATGCTGTTACCTTCCCACCAAAGGTGGTCCCTATTTTTCTACTTGCCTTTTTTACGTGCTTTCGAACTGCTACGTTGGCAGAACCTGGGACAAGTAATGGGAGCTCACCCTGTTACGCGACACTAGGGATTCGAACCGCTGAACTGCTGACCTTTCGATCAACAAGCTCAGTGTTTTAGCCACTGAGCCACCGCCTCCCTTTCTAATGCATATACAGATAGACCTCACTTAATGATTGCCCTGCTTAGCCACTGAGTCATACAGGGGGAAAGAGGGGAGTGCTCCTATACAGTAGTTCAAAATTAGAACATGATTCATGGGGAAAAATACGTATGATGCAGAAGTGGGATCAAATGTGCATGCCTTATCTGTAGAATTTTTTTGGCCATATTTTCACAGGCGCAGCGCCTGCAACCCTCTTGAGTCCTGCCTCTCTGCCTCTCTATCACCTTCAGAAACAGTATGTGCTCTTTGATGTGCAACTCCAACATGTTTATAGTCCCTGGTTGGCTGCACATGAGCATCCATGTGGAATCCATGCCATTTAGATATCATAGAATCACAATGATTCCATCTAAAACATGGGCAGATACACTACTACTCACAACTTTTAGTCTTAAAGCCCCCAGGTTGCTTTCCAAAGGGAATCAAAAAATTGAAACCCCATCAGGTCACCTGGGATTGAAACATTCAATGTGTTTCACAGAAATTGTTGCTGGTATGTGTGGCTGGTTTGTAGACTGTAAACAGCTGGTGATAATGGCAGATGATTATTTTCTACTTTTCATTTTGAAATAGATGGCGTAATGTTGACATACAGGGAACAAATACCACAAGGTCAAGGGGTGATGCAGAAATGTGTGAAAAGGCGAATCCCAAAGGTTCTGTTCTCCAGAAGTACCCATTGTTTTATGTACTCATAACCCTGGAAAAAGAATCATAAAGTTTCTGTTCTTAAATCCCTTTGAGCGTCCCGTTTCCAGGAAATCACATTCATATACTCACTCCCCCAAAATGAATGATTTAAATAATCCCAGTTTTTAGATCTTTTACTGCACTTTGAAATTAGCTTTCCTGTTCTCAATAGTACTTGAATGGAATAAAAATCTTGAATCATTGGTTTTGGATCCACATGGTTATTTTCAAGCACTTAGAAGTTCATGAAACTGATTTATTGAACACAATGATATTAATGGAAGAAAGATACTAACCTTCTGCTGTGTTATTGAAGCAGTATAAAGTAGGGTAGTGTACTACCAATTCAATCAACATCTGGGATGGACAATGATGTCATTGGCAGTATGCCACCCAGGGTGCTATTATGTTCATACCACTATTAGTCTGTGGAGGGCCATGGATGTTACAGCTAATGGGATTTGGAAAGCACCAGGTTGAAGAAAGCTGTTACAAGAGAGGGGTGGGGGGGGTGGGGGGGAGAGAAAGAAATGAGAAAATTAATGAAGAAAATAGGAACACAATCTGGTGCATTTATGTTCCTCTTTTTCAGATATGTAAATGCATCTTTAGGGACTTCCACTTTATGAGAATTCCACACTTCATGTTCAAACTCAATGGAAAAATCAGGGAGGATATCCACCAAAACACACTTCTAGGAGTCTTCAATACTGTCCAGAAATGTAAGACCAAAGTTTCCCATTTATCAGTGAGCATGACTCCTGAGTTTATTTGTTTATTTATTCATATTTCGTATTTCTTAATTGCCCATCTCCCTCGGAGATGTATGGTTATGAGAATTATAGTTCAAAACAGTTGGGGAGGATTGCTATCTGGGATTGCAGGACTGCATCAATTAAATGGGAGAGGGGAAGAGGTGGATTTAAGGTGGCATTACCAGTGGCGTTTCACCAGACTGTATTACTTATAAACTAACATTGTTGAGTATGGTTTACACAACGTTACATTTCTGTTATTTATATATTCTCATGTTCATTTATCAATAGATTGATTTATTTTAAATATGCATGTCTCCTCCTTTTAAAAAAGACTTTTAAGGTGGATGGATGGATGGATGGACGGACAGACAGAAGATAGCTGGTTTGGTCTAGTACAGTGTTTCTCAACCTTGGAAGCTTAAAGATGGGTGGACTTCAACTCCCAGAATCCCCCAGCCAGCAGCGCTGGCTGGGGAATTCTGGGAGTTGAAGTCCACCCATCTTTAAGCTTCCAAGGTTGAGAAACACTGGTCTAGTGGTTAAGGTACCAGGCTAGAAAGCAGATGACCATGAGTTCAAGTTCCGTCTTAGCCATGAAAGTGACTACGGGTAACTTTGGGCCAGTTACTCTCTCTCAGCCCAACCCACATCACAAGGTTATTTTTGTGGGTAAAATAAGAGGAGGAACATGTGCTGGAGAAGTTTGCCACCTTGCGTTAATTGTAAAAAATAATTAAAAGGCAGAATACAAATAAATAAACAGACAAAACCCACAGAAACCAATTAAATGAATAAAACAACACATTCTCAAATACACACACACACACACACATACAGAGATCAAATGGTTTAAAAACAAAGGATTAAAATGTCATCTTTAGAAGATCCTCACCATTTCTATAAAATTGTTACTAATGAATCTCAGCATTTTAGAGAAGAGATGCCACATCTGCTAAAAACAGTGGGAAAGCATTTTTTTTAATCAAACTATTCAGAATCAGATTTTAAGACCCAAAAAAACTTAAATGATGCTTGTGACCCAGCTGCTTCCACCTTAACTCGGTCACACCAAATTGACAGATTGCACCCTGAGAATCTCTGCATGCAACTGTATCTTCAGTGTTTTTTTTAAAAAAAGTGGGGATAACATGTTGTGATGGTTTCATGGGCCTGATGGTATTTATGAAAAGGTCACAGTGAGGGCTGGCCATGTATCTTCCAAAGACCTGTGCCACAAAAGGCCCCAGTGCATGCTGGGCTAAGGGAATCCTATGCAATTCCTTATCAGGAAGAGCTGTCAGCGAAGAATTCCAATCATCCAATCCAGAGGTCAGAAGTGCAGGAATAAGCGCCTACAAATCGGATCGAGTGAGCAAAATAGCAAAGCCCTACTAGTATTCCATAGATGACAAAATGAGCTAATTCACCATGCTTCACGTGTAATGAATAGAGATGGATTGGCACAGGACATCCCACCATCACCCTTTCTATTTTTAACTTTACAGAAAAGTGGAAATCTTAAGAACAACAGCTGAGCTAAAGAATAAAAAAATGCCAAAAAAAAAAAAAAAGAAGAAGAAGAAGAAGGTAAATGCAATGTGTCGACTTAACTGGTAACTAATGTCCCCTCTGTTGTTTTATTTCTTGTAAAAGCCACATCAACTGTGAAGGAATAGGAGCAGTGGGCTCAAGGAGATAGCCTCTGATCTTTTTCCTCTAGTAATGAGAATTACAGTACAGGTAGTCCTCGACTTACAACAGTTCATTTAGTGACCGTTCAAAGGTACAACGGCACTGAAAAATATGACTTTTGACAATTTTTCATAGTTATGACCTTCACAGCATCCCCATGATCATGTGATCCAAATTCAGATGCTTGGCAACTGGTTCATATATATAACCGTTGCTGTGCCTCAAAGTCATGTGATTCCCTTTTGCAACATCCTGACAAGTAAAGTCAACGGGGAAGCCAGATTTATTTAACAACCGGGTACTAATTTATCAACTACAGTGATTCATCTAACAACTGTGGCAAGAAAGGTGGTAAAATGGGGCAAAACTCACTTAACAAATGACTCATTTAACAACAGAAATTTGGGGCTCAATGGTCATAAGTCAAGGACTACCTGCATATGTTCTAGGGATTATGCCACAATCGGGAGGGAAAAAGAAGAATTCTACTTGAGTTTTTGATCACCTGTTTTTTCATCACTTTGCTTTTCAGTAGGATCAGGCAAAATTTTTGAAAGCAGTGCAAAGATGAAGAAAGCACCTCTTTATTACTCATTAAAGCAGTTGTGTCTCGTTGACTTCTTTCAAATGCGTTGCATATCCTCAGGGGTGGGCAGCTGGGGGTTCTCAGGGGTTCGGGAGAACCTCTAGCTAAGATTCTGAGCAGTTCAGAGAACTCCCAAATCCCACTCCTGGCTGGCCCCACCCACCCTGCCCCAGCCCTCCCAGGAGTCCCCATGTGGCCCATTTTGGATGCAGGTAAGTGCAGGGTGTACACGGAGGCTCGGGGAGGGCAAAAAATGGGCCTACCGGAAGTTCAGGAAGGAAGGAAACCGGGCCCATTTCCGGCCTCCAGAGGGCCTCCGGAGCCTGAGGAGGCCGTTTTCGCCCTCCCGGAGGCTCGAGGAAAGCCTCCAGAGTTCAAGGAGGGCAAAAATGCCCCCCCCCGCCATGGTGCAGGAGGCTGATGGCCATGGCCACACCCACCCAGCAACTGGGCAGAGAACCCCTTGCTAAAATTTTTGAAGCCCACACCCCTGCATATCCTGCTTTTCAACACTGCGCTTACAGCTGAATGAGTGAATGTTTAAAGATGGAGCTCCTTTGGAGAGGATGGATGGATGGATAAGCCTTATCATGCTGATTGTTGGTATGTTGGCTCCATAATTTTGACATTGGTTTTGGTTTTGGATGTGTTATTACTGCAGATGTTTTAATGATTTATAACAGGAATGTTTTAAACTGCATTATCCTGCTGTGTGTGACTAAGAGTCTGACATAGATTACAATGGTTAGAGAAATAAATGAATGGTCTGACTCTACTGTAATACCATTTGTTTCTGAGTTTATAAAATACTTCAGCCTATGCAAGTCAATGAGCAAAACTCATTCTCTTTGAAGGATATCCCTTGGTATTACTGTAATAAAGAACAAAATGCAGTTAAGTTTAACACTTCTAAATTCCTTTTATTTTACCAGAATAGGTAAAGCACTGGCTTAAGTGAATAGAATGTTTTTAAAAAGAAAAATAGGGTGAGAAAATAGTAAGCAGAGATTAAAAGTATAGAGTGCCAAATTGTGCAGGAGGCTCAGTGTCAATCAGCTAATTAGTTAAATTTAATGAACGTTTTCAGAAACTGAATATAAAACAGGTTGAATCTTTTTTTATTGATTATGGTACAACAAATTACAGGGAAAAATATGCATTTTCATTGTTGTTTTTCCCATGAGAAATTTGCCAACTTAGAGCGAATTCACTATGAAATGTATTTTTCCCGTGTATCTTTTGTTTTATATAACACATTATTTATTTGCTTTGCTAAAGGGTTTAATGATAGGTGTTAATAAATGTCACATCTGATATTTGATATAATTTAAGTATGTCCTAATGAAATAAACTTTATAATAGCTAGCAATGTGAAGCCCTAGAAAGAGCTTTTTCACATATTGTCCTTGAACTCAGACACAGGACATTAGACAAATAATTGATAACAGTATAATAACAGTAACAGAGTTGGAAGAGACTTTGGAGGTCATCTAGTCAAACCCCCTGCTCACGCAGGAGACCTGTACTAGGGATTTGAACTGTCGAACTACCGACCTTTCTGATCGACAAACTCAGTGTCTTAGCCACTGAGCCGCCTAGTCAGGCATTCAAACTTTTTAATATCACCAAAAAAATAAAAAGCCAAGAGGAAAAAAATCAGTTTGAAGGACAGTCAAGATTAAAATGGACGAAAATAAATAATCTTTCACTGAGTATATTATTAACCTATGGAATTTACTGCATGAAGATATTTCACTAAGTCAAATGCCTTAGGAGAACAGAAGGAGAGAGACATAGATATATACATGCAGACACGCACTCATTGAGATTAAAGGTCAATTTACTTTAAGATTAAGCCATTTTGAACCATAGAAGGCTCTACACTGAAACTCCTTATTGTTTCTAGGGTACTGCTGCAGTACTGTAATTAATTTTATAAAAGACTGAAAATCCTTCAAGAAACTCTTGCTGAAAATGGACAAAATGAATTGATGATCTCATGATTTAAAAAAAGGTTGTTTCTGGGAAGAAGAGAACCATGATATGCAATTTGGAAAGGTGAAAACAGTAATAACCAAGCTTGTTACTGATATAAAGAAGATTGGCTGTCAATTCTTTAAATATTTCCCTTTTTCTTTCTCATTCTTTCCCCCCCCCTTCCTTGATTTGTACTGTTTTTATGTTTTCTTTTATCTTTTCATATCTTTTTCTTTCTTCTATTTTTTTTTTTACATTTCCATAGTTTTTAATCCTGATTTTTTTGTTCTCAATAAAAATTATATATATAATCATATATAAGAGACAGTGGAAGAGAGGGTGACTGGCCCAAAGTCACCCAGCTGGTTTCATGCATAAGGCAGGGCTAGAACTCACTGTCTCCTGGTTTCTATTCTAACATCCAGGTCTTTAATAGCTTCCTGATCATTATCAGAGTAGGAGCTATCCAGATTTCTGGGGGCATATTATTCCAAAAAACAGGAACCACAACAGAGTATGTATGTATGTATGTATGTATGTATGTATGTATGTATGTATGTATAAAGTATGTAGTAAGCAGAAAGTAAGCAGTGTATATGACACTGCTTAAATAATGACACCTGAAGCATGTTCAGCTTGACTAGATGGGCAAAAACACCCAGAAACTGGCAGTCTCTCAAATATCCAATCCTGAAGTTAATTACCTCTTGTTACTTGGAAATTATATTTTGTAGATAAAGCCACTTTTTGCAGCCACCACATATAGCTGATTCATACTCAGTTTGCTGTCAATTATTATTTCAAGATATTTTTCACAAGTAGTCTTACAAGCCAGATATCTTAAATATTATTACTGGGCAATTCATTTTATCTATGTGAGGAACTCTGTCCTGTGTTAAATGTCATGTGGTTACTTTCAAACCATTTCTGAAACATAAGAACATTAGAGTCCTTAGTGCTCTCCGAGGTTGTTTGTTTGCTTGCAGACATTTTGTTACCCAACTAAGTAACTTCTTCAGTGCACCAAGGACTCCACAGGTCAACTCTGAGCTACACATATTCTCTTCTATTAGTACATATAATGTTGTTTTCAGTTGTGTTTTGGTCTTCCATGGTATGTCCTTTACACATATGATAAGTGTTTTCTCCATTTTGTCTTAATAGTGGATTCCTGCCCTGCGGAATGGACAAAATGATCTCAAAACTCAATTCCAACCCTTATAATCTATGATTCTGTAATTTCTCGTGAAAGTCATGAATAAAAATATTGACAAATAGAGGACTTAGGTATCATCCTCCTACCATCCTTCTGAATACATCTTTCCAATTTTATGAGGAACCATTTATTTATTTATTTATTTATTTATTTATTTATTTATTTATTTATTTATTTATTTATTTATTTGTCCAATTTATATGCCGCCCTTCTCCGTAGACTCAGGGCGGCTTACAATGCATTATAGCAATAGCCTGCATACTTTTATGTATATACCTGCTTATTAGGGCTTTCGCCCCCCCCCCCACCCAGCGGTATTGTTCTATACAAAGCTGGCTTATTGCCTCCACAATCTGGGTTCTCAATTTACCTACCTCGAAAGGATGGAAGGCTGAGTCAACCTTGAGCCTGGTGAGATTTGAACTCGCACTAATTGCAGGCAGCTGGCAGCTAAGTGCTAGCACTTAACAGCACTTAGTCCGCTGCACCACTGAGGCTCTTTATGAACACTATTTGAGTACAGTTTTCTAGAAAAGTCATACATTCCCTTAATTGTCATGCCATCCAGCCCACAGCGGCTAAGCAGTGCATCCCATTAAATCGTAATATAATATAATAATACAATACAATACAATACAATACAATACAATACAATACAATACAATACTATACTATACTATACTATACTATACTATACTATACTATAATATAATATAATATAATATAATATAATATAATAATATAATAATATAATAATATAATATAATAATATAATAATATAATATAATATAATATAATATAATATAATATAATATAATATAATATAATATAATATAATATAATAATATAATATAATATAATATAATATAATATAAATATACCTTCTTATCTATTAAGGCTTGATTTAAAAAATGATAACTTTACCCTTGCAAGACTTATTCTTAATGCATTCATTCTGATTCCTGGTAATTATTGTCTTATTTTCAAGGTGCTAACAAACTTTCTAAAATCTGCTCTAGAATTTTTCCAGATATTGATGCAAGATTTTTTTTTTTAAACGACCCTGCATTGGGGTGGAATCAGGGCAACTGAGCCTTTACTGGTTGGATGCCCTTCCTGATGCCTATGCAGAGTTTGCAGCA